AAGGAGGAGGAGGAGAGGGAGGAGGTGGAGGGGGAGGAGGAGGTGGAGGGGGAGGAGGAGGAGGAGGGTCCGACGATGGAGAAGGAGGAGGGCCTGACGGCGGAGAAGGAGGAGGGCCCGACTATGGAGAAGGAGGAGGAGGTGGAGGACGAAGAAAAAAGGGTGAGGAGTAGGAGGACGAAAAAGAGGTGGAGGAGGAGGAGGCCACGGCGATGGAGGAGGAGGAGGGAGAGAACAAGAGGAGGAAGAACAAGAAGAGGAGGAGGAGAAGGAGGACGACGACGACGACGATTGGGAAGGGGTTCAGGAAGAAACGGAGGAGGAAGAAGCGGAGGAGGGCCCAACGATGGAGGAGGAGGAGGAGGTGGAGGAGAAGGAGGTCACGACGATGGAGAATGAGGCCCCACATGAAGAAGAAGGTGGGGAAGAGAATGAGGCCCTCAATCAATCAACCAATCAATCAACCAATCAATCAATCAATCAATTAATCAATCAATCAATCATTCAATCCATCGGTCGATCAATCAATCAATCAATCAATCAATCAATCAATCCATCGGTCGATCAGTCAATCAATCAATCAATCAATCGATCAATCAATCAATCAATCAAGCAACCAATCAATCAATCAATCAATCGAAGGTCCAATCGGACCGATTGATTCCATAGAAACCGTCGAACCACCCAACCACCTAGCCACCCAACCACCTAACCACCCAACCCCAACCCCCCACACACCCCAAAGTCTGTTTCTATTTTTTTTTTCCTGTTTTTGCTCATAATAGCCCCAATTTTTTTATTGGGGATCCCCCAACAGTGCGCACACACCCCGCTTTTTTTTTTTGTGGCAAAAACTTTGTTGTCCGATTTTTCGAACAGTTACCCCTCGACCGTCTCCCGGAGATCGGACAGCTGGTAACGTAGCTTTTTTTTATTCAAGGGGGTGGGGTCGAGGTTCCGGAACCCCAATCCGCAACCCCCTTCCCTAACCCCCTCTCCCCTCAGCCGCGGCGGGCCGCCGAAGACCGTGGCCGTTGCGGTCATGATCGTGGCCTCGCGGCTGAGGCCGCCGTCGTGCCCCCGGTGACTGCGGCCACGGGGGAGTCATAGGTTCCTATCATCATATCTTGGGCTTCCTTCCAGGTCCTGCTGGTCGCGACGATAGCCATTGTGTTCCTTCCAAGCTACACATGCTGTCCTAGATGGTCAATATTTTCTTCCTCGCTTCACTTTAGCAATGCGGCTAGGTTCTCATAGTCTATAAAGAATCCCATGATGTTCACTCCGTCGAACGTCAACTTTTTCTTGGCGTCTGCGAGGTATCGCTGGTTTTTGTTTAGTGCCCGCGTGAGGGAGGACACTATTTTTTTGAGTCCTCCCTCGGGTCCGTCTGCCTTAATGGCGGCGCCAGACCCCTATCCTTCCTTACAGGTTTCCAGTCCTTCTCCGACTTTCGTCGTGCCTTTTAGGGCAAACCATCCTAACACCCTCTCTCTTAAGCTCCAGAGTCCCTCGCACCCCTTTACGATCATTGGTACGGCTGCCAGCCGGCTTGCCCTGTTGTCCATTGTTGACGGGTTGGTAGCCTTTTCCGTCTCCCTTACTGGGGATCCCTTTTTTATTTTCCTTTTTTACTTGGCGTTCCCCTACGTTCCCCAGCCCTATCTTTCCTCCTTTGTATAATATCTTCCCGACTCCCTCGGCCTCGGTTTGTTCCTCATTCCTCGTGCGGCCTCACCCCAATGAAATCCCCCTCGCTTTCATTCATCATTTCTTCCATCAATTTCGCTTTGTACTCTGTCGTCCTTCTCTCTATCTCTGCCAATTTCTTCCGAGCGCTTGTTAGTTTCACCTTCTTTAATAGTGCCCCTTCTGATGCTCGTGTCGTCGGGCTACACTTGTCCCTATCTCCCCTAGCTTCCTGGGTCCCTCGTTTGTTCCCTCCGACTTTACCTGAGTTTTCCCCTGTCACAACTTCCTTTCCTCCTTCCTTAATACCTTCTGGGTTTGTCGACTCTAGATCCCTCAAGGTCCCTTCGCTCTGCTCTACGTCCTCTCTTATGTCTTGATACCCCTTACTTCCTTGATTTTCTGCCTCGTCCTCTGTTGCCATCTTTTTCTAATACTCCACATAGCAAAAACAGAAAATTGAGGTGGCGGACCACCGAAGGTTCTCAGGATTCCTAGGTCCCAAGACTTATTGTTGGTCTTATGACCTCCCCATTTTTGTCATTTTTATCATTCTAGTTTTATGCTCGCCACAGTAAATTTGCGTCTTCCTGTCTTACGGGATACCATTCACTTACTCCATTGATGGGCCCCCTTTATCTGGTATGATATTCAACACTACTGCGCATCAAATCTCAGGTGGCATGCCTTAGCGGAGCGGGTCCCTACTTCGCTTAGGACCTACCCTTCTCTTTTTATGCCCCTGGACACCTCCAAAGCCCTTGTCGATAGCGGCTATCCAAGTCCTGTCTCGTTTTTCCCTTAGGGAGAGCAGGACTCCAACCGCTACCTCCAGGAGAGTGTTCTCCTTGCCTCCACTTGACAACTTATAATATCCTATTCCCATTACGCCACTTTCCTAGTGCCTCTCACACCAGCTCCTTGGGCTCGGCCTGTTCGACGGTTTCCTCAAACAATCTGGCCACCCCTGTGAGGTAGTTCCCTAAGGATTATCGTTTTATATTTCTCATAGGCCAGTCACGGTGTCCCAAATATCAGAATGTCGATGAGTTCTAACAGTTCCCAGACCCTATTTCCCCAGAACGACGTGTGTTTCATTGAAACATTGTAAAAAATGTTGACCGTCTGCGGTTGGAAGTAGTGTACCCAGATTAGGGCCACGTTCGCCAGGTCCCTTGCCCTTTAGAGACTTCCGAAAACCAAATCTATTATGAAGCGAGACACTCAGCTCGGCACCGCAACTGAGTCGTCAGGGCCCTAAACTCCCGCCATCCTCCTACTTTCACCCGGGTCCTTAGTCCTACATTCCTTCTTCCCCGAATCTCTTGGCCTATTCGGGCCAACGCCCGGGCCGCCCTCCAAAAGATTGACAATAACCCATGCCCAGAACCATCTCGGTCCCTAGCATGTGCCACCCGATCTCAGGTAGGTACAAGGTTCAGGTGACCCTTAGATCGGTGCACAAGCCATCTCCCGACCCACTATTAAATCTCATGCCGCTCCATAGGAATTCCACCATTATGAAGGCTTGATTCCTTCGGCATCAATCCCTCAAACCTCGTAGCTCGTAGTGAACTACAATTCCCACCCGTTACCGTTCTCCGTGGGTGGGTGAAGGTGCGTGGGTTGTCGCGACGTTCGAGTGCGCCTCATCATCATCACCAGTCGACGGATTCCTGCATGGTTCAAAAGAGAAAGTAAATATTTCATACTTCCTTTATAGTCCCAGACTTTGCTAGCTATCCTCCTTCCTACCTTGCTTTTGATGTCGCCCTTGTTTTCTTTCCTCGCTATAGGATTACCTCTTCCTCTGGTAGTTCAAATAATCAATGCACGTCATTTATGTAGGTCAGTCCGCGACTCACTTCACGTCTAATGACCCTCTACATAACCTCGTCGCTCACTAGCGGAATCCTTGGTCTCGTCGTTACAACCGAGCTTAGAATGCGTAGCACTTCATATCCCTGTTCTTTCTCAAACGACCCCATCTCCAGGAAGACCCGATAGTATTCTCGATATACCATGATTTCCTCAAAACTCAACTTGGTCAATGCCGCTACTGTCTGCGAAACACGCTCTACACCTCCCATTTGTTGCAGCAGGAAGGGCGGCAATCTCATTTGTATGTTTTCATTTGGCAGGGTGAAGATTCCTGCCATGACAGTTCTTACTTCAGTCGTTACATCGTTCCGTTCGGGATCCGCGAACTCGAACCCTTCTCGCAATGTCATCTAACACGCCCCCTTAAACAATCGTACAGGATCGCCCCCCGGATGCCACGATGATCCCAAAGGTGTGCCATCCGTCTTCCGATAGGCACAACGATCCCTTGGCATGTATGCATCTCGGAAGGTCCAAGTTCACACTCTCAAACTCCCCCCTTGCACGTCATTCCAGTTCCACTACCAGATACACTGTATCTTCTACCAGTTTCATTCCCGCCCAGTCCATTACCGGATTGCTTACCCCACTTCTTGTCGGCATACTTATCTCTATCCTTCCATCCACTTCGTGAGGCGGCAAGATCCCATGTGGTCTGTCCTCCCAAACTGTCATTCTTTCCGTCATTCGTGCAACTCATTTCTCCCGGCTTTTCTCTCGACCGAC